AACTTGATTTGAAAGCTTTCTAACGAAGTCCATCATATGTACCTCCATCCGAACCAGAGACTGGAAAGTCGGACGGCAACTTTTTCTTTTTATCGAAGCTTTTTCAGAAAATATTGTTTGACTAGTTCTATTGTTGATTGAATTACTGAGGATTCATTTGAATTGAAACGGGATTGGCAATTTTTGGAAGATTCCTAGCGAATCGTTGGGAATTAGTGTATTCTGTGAGAGGATTGGGGAGATTAAAGCGTAGGTGTAGATAATGATTATTTTAATAAATTAATTAATTACAGTGTAGGATCAGAATATTGATCTAACCGTCCGTTATTTGACGAATTATTTTAAAACTATTGAATAACGAACTGTAAATGAAAGAGAACTGTGTGGATTGAAAAATACTTTATCCCTCCGCACTCGTAATTGTTTGAAAAAGTACCACACTTTAAAAGATTATAAAAATTGAATCTTATTATAATAATAATAAATAAAATAAATATAAAACGTTGAATTCTACCGCTGTAAATTACTTTAATTCATTTCCCAAAAAATAAATATAAGTTTACACCCAACAACATTGAAATCGAGTACAAAGGGTTAATACAATGTTGTCGCCTCGATGATGGCTACAAAACGAGTGTTCTAAGAATGGCACTGTTTAGTCTTAGGACCCTCATTGTTCAGCGTTTGCCCTCGTTTAGATTTTCTTACAATAAAAATGATTCTAATTCGTAATTAGATGAAATTTAATTAAAGCTTCGTGGATGTACATGTCAATGATATCGCAATCATTCGACAGTCGATGTTTATTGGAACAAATAACGAAGTTGTATGAGACGATGTCGTAATTCATGGATAAGTGAATAATAATTGATGAATAGGGTGGTTCGTCAATATGTGCACGAATGTATGTACTTGTTCTCAATAAGGAACGTCGGATGCCTTCGCACTCGGCGGATATAATATCTTTAATTGGCTCGAGATATGTTTATTCAGCCGACCTTGTTGCAACAACGCGTGTACCGGTGCACGGTATTGGATCTCAGTTCTGTTTATGTTCAAACCTATCCAGTATTGATCATCGCTAATGGTGTGCCCTGGGTATCTGTATGCGACGTCCCGTGATCAATATTAATCTCGAATATGCGCGACAGAGGGAGAAAGGAATTGGCTCCACGGTAACCGACATTCAAAGCCGAGTCCATAAATCGCGGCCGAGTTTTAGAGACAGTTTCGATCCCATTTGGGTATGAACAATACGTGCCTCGATGGGACTCGATTTATTTTGAAGCTTGTCGATACAGAATCCGAACCTTATTTGCTCGACCTACCTCACAGAATTTAGCATTGCGCTCTAACCACGGAGACCTTGACGTAACTCGATTAAAGGGACACCGGATCCTTCCGATCGAGAACTGGAATTACGCGTATATTTTAATTTATATAAAACTGTATATAAGCGTATTAAAACGGTGCAGCTTATTAGGCACAAAAATGAACACAGCTTCTTTAAATAAATTAAAAAAACAATCAGGCATTCTTCAATCTTTGAAATATTTACAATTATCTTCAATAACTTTATCGGAGTTTCATCTCCGAGATGAAACTGAAGAATCCCAAAATATACAATAAACAAATGGGAAGCATTAATTTATAGCTTGAATTTATAGGTTCAAAAGTCTAATGAAGTAACAAATGTTATTCGTTGGAACTCTTTCATATTCGAGAGATAAAACACTTTACTTTCTAGTAATTCAATCAAAAACATGATACATCCATAAAACGAGTATACTGTTTTCATATCACGTAAATAAAACATTTCCGTCTCCATCGATCCACGAAAAAGATAGCTTAATGCATGCAACAAAGTAGCACGCGATACAAAATAGTAATGAATCGAATAAATACGTGCACGCACGGAGATAAAATATACAAATATATCCCGTTAATATTATTTTATACGAGACAGATGAAATATAATATTTTAGTTTCCTCACACGAACGTTCGCATGCGCAGCAATGTCGGCTCCTTCGTTGAGCGTCTCTTCATGAAATCGACCCTTTCGAGTGGGTTTCGGGCCAGTGCGCGGCGCGCCGTTGCCATAGACGAAGATCTGCTCTTGCGCGCCGCGCCGCTATTACCGCTATTTCTGAAAATGACAGCGGGATGGCTCTTTTTCCACAAATGACAGCCGAACTCCAAGCCAAAAAATGGTTTCCCTTTTCTTCTCATAGAGCGATGCCTACGAATATAGGTCAACGTTGGCTAAAAAAAACCTCACGGCAGGAAAACGTGTTCTCCGCCTACTTCGTTATCATAACGCACCGAAACGCTGGTTAAATCCCGAGAACCAATACGAATACCCTCCACGAACATAATAATACGGCAAGCTCGCTCTTACACAATCGCTCTTAACCAGTTCCACTCGGCCATATTTTCGTCGAAATTCTGTTCAACGAATCAGATTGTCGGTGTCCGCATCGGAAACGAGTACTACAGTGCGCTGTAATGATCCACCGACATTTTTCTGTGCGTCTATTTTCCATAGAAATCTTTGACGATCAGTCGTGTAGAAAATATGTAAGGGTAGTTATTAAACGTTAGTTCTCTATAGAATATTAATTAATTACCTAGGATTTCAAAAATATTAACTGAAGATTATTGTCTATTTAAAAAAAAATATTCTTTTGTTACTTGTATTTACGAATCAGACGTTTGGATGCTTTTAAATCGACTTATCTAGTAAAATTATTTAACAAACTTCCTCGATTGCATTTAACTACGAAATTTCAATTGTATCATGAACGGTCGAATCACTCAGTCCTTCTATTCAAACAGAATAACTACAAATCAAGGATATCACATTTGCCCATCTAATAAACATTTTTTTAAAAATTCAATCAAAATGCTTTGCATGGCATTTAACTACAAAATTTTATTTATATCACCAATGATCTCACCACTTGCTCCTTTGATTTAAACAAAACAAATACAAACTGAGGATATCACATTTGCCTGTCTAATAAATATTTCTAAACAAATTCGATTTAATTTTTCGATTAGCATTTAACTACAAAAATTCATTTATCTCGCGAGTGTTCATCGAACTGCTCGCTCCTTCGATCCAAACAGAACGAATACAAGGAAGATATCTATCACGACCCGAAACTTGAACACCGTTCCCAGAAAAATATTTCGCCCTGCAGTTTGCATAGAACTCCACGTAGGAATTTCCAGAGATGTAAGCGCAAAACCGTTCGCCGGTTTGTTTTCACGGCTAGGGAACAACGAAATGTTTCGCGTCTGCGCGGTTGCCGGGTCCCGATATTGCGGCGCGATCGTTTTAGCCGCCCGCAGGATCCTTTCCTATATCGCGGAATTAGTTTTCCCAACAGTGGTCCTCTGTTCCTGCAGACGGAATGTTTCTCGACAGTGTTTTTCAGCGGGAAGAAGCCACCCGAGGGAATTCGTTGGGACGGCAATCCGACTCGATGCATTCCCAGGCTGGCGTTTCGGAAACTCGTTCCCGGAAAAACAATGTCGAAGCCCCGATCAAACGCGCGCGAGCGCGCGCCGCCTGTCCTCCGTCTACGCAACGCGACTATTCATAAGTCACCAGGTACTCTCGCAGCTCGTCTGGAAAGTTTCCGGCGCGCCTTAATATAAAACTGGATTTTAAAGATACAAGAGACCGCATTCCGTGACGTTTCAGGAATTTCGGCTTTGTTGAAGCTTGCGGATGTTTGGGGATTCATGAAATGTTTTACTGATACATGAGACGCGATAAGTGTTAGAATGGAATTTCTATACATTTTTCAGCAAATCTTTTTATCTAATTTTTGTATGGTTTTTGTTTAAGGTACTTAATTTGTTTCTAAAAAGTTTCGGAAATTTCTGTTTGATGCTGATTTTGGAAAATTTGTTTGTGAAAATTGTATATTTTTGTAATGTTACTTTGGAGGAATTGTAAAAGGGTTAAATGTGAAATTAATTAAATAAGTATATGATTATTTACTTAATTATACATGTTCTCCATAATATTTCAGTATTTTCCTAGACTGCAGGTTTCGAAGTATCGGAGAATTTTTTTCACCCCAACTTTGAGGGATGATTTCACCCTCGAAATATCAAAGGTAACGGCTGAAAAACGGTGTCAAGTATTTTTTCAATAAATATACCACGCATAAATTTGATAAAAATGGACGTTTCACGCTTAAACGGCGTCCCTTGTAAAAGCTGTGCCAACGTCGTCTGAATCTCATTAAACTCTTCTCAGCAGACGAAAATTCTAGCAGGAAATCAGGTCGTGAATTCTTTGTCATGGGCTTTATTAACAGTACCACCGGGTATAAGGTATCTCGATGATTAAAGTCTTCATAAAAGAAGGGGCGTTTTAAAAAAAGGTAACAAAGGTTATAAGCGCACTTAATGAACGGTAATTAATTATTTTCTACTTATGAACTCTGTTCAGGTTGAACGACAGATTACTCTACCAGCATTTTCATAAAGGTTCTTTCCAAGCAAGAGCTAACGCTGCAATAAAAGTAACACCACCTGAAAATTCCATATCATTTTTTTTCCTCAATTAATACTAACAATATGAAAATCAAAAAATCATAGGTTGATGAAAATTCTTAGTGAACTAATCTTCACGATTTGCACGAATATAGTCGCATCGGAAACACGTAGATTGAATTACAAAGATAAACGTATGTGGTAAACAATAATGATTAACAATTCCACGAATTGAATCGTCGTACAGGATTAATCCGTGCCGCAACGCGTGCAGGTCGCAATGAACCCTCGCCCACGGAACTTTCAAAGCTTTATTATCGAGCCGGAACACGACAAAGTTACGAGAAATCCGAAGTATAGCCGAATGATCCACTTTACGTTCTGTGTCACGTAAGAGGAACGAAATATGGAGTCTTTTAAGGGGCACTGCGTATCGCTGCGATAGCAATCTCCACGAATTCGCTACAAATGTTTTAGAATCACTTACGTCGTTTACGTGTTCTCCCGAGTGGCAACCCTCGTTTTCGGTGGTAACGTGGATCAAGTCAATTACCTGAAATAAAAAGACGATCGATTTGTTAGAAACATAATTCATAATCGAGCATAGTCGACGTAATGTTTAAAATAATAAATAATAATAAATACAAACCAGTAAATAATAATATTCAATTATTTTCCTTACTACTGCGATCGATTACTGTTTATCCGTTTAAAGGTGCCAATATGCGAGTGCATTTAATTATACATTAATATCAAATTGTCAATATCAGTGGTTATAAAAACATCCATAATTAATTTTATTCTTCCCTACTAAGTGACATTTATTAAAATTACAATCAGCCACAAATTGAAATCATCTTTGCTAAAACACCTTCGTCCTCGAATAGGTTAGGATTTCAAAATTGATTCGTCGCGTACAGCAGAATCGGAGAATAGTAGAATTAAACGACAAGCTGAAATTCCTGTCGACGTGCCCAGTCTAGTTCATTCTTATGCTCGCAAAAAGTTTTCGACCAGCCGCAGACTAGTCAATTGCGAATAGCGGTTGGGTGGGAATAATTAAGAGATTCAACAGGGCTGAGAGGACCGATTGGAACGTCGAAAAGTGTGCCAAGTAACTTTTCGTCGGTGGTGTTTGTTCAATATTCATAAGCTTCTTCTCTAGTTGACGTTTCAACGTCGCCAACGACTTGCCGTTTTTGCAATTGAAACTTTATCACCCTTGCGAACTATGCAGTCCACCTGCCCCCACTTCAGCCAGCCCTCACTACGGCGCGTCGTGTCGTCGCGTCGTTGTCTACGAACTAAAATTCCCGTAAAAATATCGCGAACAGTAATAATTCACTCTTGAAATTTACACTCCGCAACGTATCGCGTGGAATCGTTGTCACGCTCCTGAAAATATCGCTGCTCGCCCGGTTCGATGCCTCCTTCCGAAATAAATATTCCAGTCTACCCGTCGATGAAATTTAAATTCGTTACTATTTGTCCGTGAATCGATTATTTAAAATGCCGTTAATATTTCGTATTTCACGTTACATTAATGTTAGTTCAACTGTATTAACACGGTGAGCATAATTAATAAATGTATCCGCCATGATTCAGATGTTTTTAAATAAAAGATAAACATTATTATTGCATTCGTCAGAGCAGCTATACATCAGAGAACCAATTTCTGAACTTTTAATCATCCACGCGATGTCTACAATGTTACATATTAGATTTACAAAAATTAGTTGTTATTATTACTTCTATTCTTTACTGTTATCACTATCTTTCTATTATTACCATTTTCTTCGTATCGGTTTATAAGATGAACGATCTAATCCCCAATCAAAGCTAAAACAATTACCAACGAATAATTATTACCGCAACAAAGTTACCTCATTGGCTAATTCTAATTACCTCACAGACACTCAACGCCCGAAACAATTCGAATAACCCGGAAACTCCGCGTTGCATCTGTTCGCGCGAGTTTATCGTTGCTGACCGCGTGCGGGCGTCGAAGAACTCGAATGGAGGCTTGAATAGAGATAAGACCGTCGGGATAACCGGGGACGGAATATATTAACGAAAAAGTCTGTCCGCTCGGTGTCTCCCGCGTAAATGAGCATACGTGCTCATCTGCGCAGATATGACGCCGCGGTAACATATGATTTTGGTGCACGCGATACGACCGTGCCCCGACAATTTCCCACGAGAAGTTCCGCGAAAGCACGCGCGATTATCCGGGCTGTTCGCTTCGATTGTGGTAAGCATATGGTGATACACCTATGTATGCACGGCGCACATAACCCGTCATACCTTGGGTTATGGGCCGCGCCGTCGAGGGGAGAGTAAGAGACAGAGAGAGGAACAGAGTCAGGGACAGGGCATTAAGTTTATGCCTCGCACAGAATTACGTAGTTTAACACGTTGATAAGCCGGCAGCCGTTGCTGTGGGGTTCGCAATGACAGGAACTTTCGCGCTGCTAACACCGTACCCAAGAGACAATATTTTCTATATAAACGCGAGAGGAATCGTTAATTGAACCTCTCTGCGATAGCATTTTCAGGCTCGTTTGTGGTATACAATTTGGTGATTCATGATAGTAGAATAACTAGTATTTATTTATTTGTGTTCTCGAGAAAGGAGGTTTTGTGAAATGTTCTTGAATTGAATAAATGATAATGTTGGCTATTATTGATCGTTAATGTTAGTAATTAGGCGACTCGATTGAATGAGCTGTTTATATGTTGAAGTGAATAATGTTATCTTTGTTAATTTTTTCAAAAGTGCCAAAGCGTTTAATTGATGGTTTAGTAATATGATTTTATTGACTTCTCCAAGTTTTATTTCGTGAGTTACGAAATACGTTGATGAATGAATGTATCAATTACTGCATCAAGATCTCTAGACTTTATTTAAATGCATCCTTCTCAGGAACAATGGCTGTTATTATAAATTCCTAAATAGAATAGAATTAACTATCAAGTTACTGTGCAGTTCTCACATCCTGGGTAAATCCCAGCTACTAAAAGTGAAGTGAAACGTACGAACATTGCCATCCGATTTCGTTTCTGCACGGAGGCGGCTTTTTATATTTACCGAATCCCGGGGACACGGAGGCTTGGCTATTATGTTTCTTAGAAGAACCGAGATGGAGCGTGCAGCCGATTTCCCTAGCCCCTGCGACTTTTTAGCTTTTAGGATTGACTCAGGACGTGAAAGCGGCATTATAATCGCATCAGTACACCGTTACAATGAACCCTTTCCCTTCTTTTCTTTTCTGAATATAATCGTTGCATTAATTATTCATGTGGAGATTATTATCGTTAATTTCAGTAATTAGACTCGTTTCATAATATTGATTAGATGGAAGTGTTAATGGTTGTCCCCGTATAATCAGTGCATTTGAAATTACAGCCTGTACACAACTCCTTGTTTTCCTACACATGTATCTTAGTAACAACGATATCGATCTGTTGCCTGACGTTCTTCCGAAACGAGTCTTTTAAGTCGTTATCCGCCGATCTCGATAACCGGAATATGAGTTTCAATAATTAAAAGGTTCTCTCGTCGGTAAACCTCCAATAGATTACCTAATGCATAACCGCATTATGTTCAATACGATTTATACAAAGCGGATAATTAATGGTATCGCGTTAACGAACGGGAGATTACCAAGCCGTTCCTAATGACTTGAATAGGAACGAATCTCATCCGATCGCCTCGTCGAGCCCGCGTTGATATTTTCTGTTCAATTACTTCGAACCGTGTAATTACAGGAACAATTGCAGACCGGCAATGTGTTAACAGATTACTTTGATGTTTGCAA